TGCAGTGAGCTAAGATCACACCATTGTACTCCAGCCTGGGCAACAAGAGCAAAACTTCATCTAAAAAAAATAAAAAAGACCTAGACCCACAGCATTTGTTTTTTTAAGCTCATTTTTTAAATATAAATGGTAGAAATACTCCAACAGTATAAAACTCCATGATATTATCTAACTCACAAGAATATTTTTGCTAACATAAGTCATTCATAAACCTCTGTGTATGGTGAGCCCTTTATGAGACAACTTGATCCCTGCAAAGTATTTAATAAATACAAAGGGCACTAAAAGAGAGTCTTAATGAAAAAGGATGACTTAAAAATCTTTTCTCAATTGACATCAAGAAAAAAAAGTAATTGTTTAAAAAATCTATTAGTTTAAAAAAAAAACAAGTGTTGGTGAGGATGTGGAAAAACTGGAACCCTTGTGAACTGTTGGTGGCATGTTGCAAAATGGTGCTGCTGCCACGGAAAATAGTATGGTGGTTCTCCACAAAATTAAAAATGGAATTACCATATGATCCAGCAATTTCACTTGTGGGTGTACTTATTATTCCTTTTTCATACCGTTATTAAAAACTATCTGAGACTGGGTAATTTATGAACAACAGAGGTTTAATTGACTCACAGTTCCACAGGCTATACAGGAAGCATGGCTGGGAAGCCTCAGGAAACTTACAATCATGGCAGAAGGCAAAGGGGAAGCAGGCACGTCTTCACTTGGTGGAGCAGGAGAGAGAGAGACGGAGAACAAAGGGGCAAAGCCGTGCGGCAAAAGGAGCATTTATTATTAGAAACACATTTATTGTCAGAACTCACCATCACAAGAACAGCAAGGGAGAAGTCTGCCCCCATGACTCAGTCACCTCCTACCAGGCTTCTCCCTTAACATGTGGGGATTACAATTCAAGATGAGATTCGGTGGGACACAGAGCAAAACAACATCCGTATATAATGAAAGTCTCAAAGAGATATTTGCACATCCATGTTCACAGCAGCACTATTCACAACAGATAGGAAATGGAAGCAATTCAGACATCCAACAGATGAATGGATAAACAAAATGTGGCATATACATACGATAGAGTATTATTTAGCCTTAAAAAAGGAAGGAAATTCTATTACATGCTATAACATGATTGAACCTTGAGGATATTATGTTAGGTGAAATAAGCCAGTCACCAAAAAGATAAATACTCTATGATTTCACATAGATGAGGTATCTAAAGTAGTTAAACTCATAAAAACAGAAAGTAGAGTGGTGGCTGCCAAGAGCTAGGAAAGGGGAAGTGGGAAGTTGTTGCTTAAGGGGTATAGAATTTTAGTTTTGCAAGATAAAAGTTCTGGAGATCCAATGGCTGGACACAGTGGCTCACACCTGTAATCCTAGCAATTTGGGAGGCTGAGGCAGGTGGATCGCAAAGTCAGGAGATCAAAACCATCCTGGCCAACATGATGAAATCCCCAACTCTACTTAAAATACAAAAAAAAAAAAAAAATTAGCAGGGCATGGTGGTGCATTCCTGTAATCCCAGGCTGAGACAGGAGAATTGCTTGAACCAAGAAGTTGGAGGTTGCTGTGAGCCGAGATCACGCCACTGCACTACCGCCTGGCAACAGAGCTAGACTACATCTCAAAAAAAAAAAAGTTTTGGAGATCGGTTTAACAAGACTGTGAATATGCTTAACATTACTAAACTGTATACTTTAAAATTGTTAAGCTGATAAATTTTGCATCGTGTGTTTTTAATTATAATTTTTAAAAAATCCATTAGTTTTTCTAATGATCATAATGAAGATTATGCTCAAAAGGTGTCTTATGGGATAGGAATACAGGTAATTTTATTCTCTTTACTGTTGCTGGACCAAGTTTTCTGCCTTCTGCAAATCAGCATGGCTAGGCATTCCAAGATAATCTATCACCATACAATCTAAGAATTCTTCTGGAATATAAGCATGATCCAAGAGTGTCTTAGAACCAAATTTCCCTAGGAACCTTCATGGCTTGGGTGTTTTGTTATGGGGAGGAGGGGGAGGAAGCAGAAGAAGATGTGGAAGTTGGCATGGTCTCTCTTTGGGTGGGACTCCTTTTGTGTTTTTGATGAGAATAGTCGTATTAATCAGTAGCATATTATAGAAGGCGTATGTCTTATGTTTCATTGCTTAGTTTTATGTTGTGCAGCAGCAATTTGCCAACCACCGTCCTGATGAAATATAGACGTGCAGCAAAAGGAACATTCATTATCAGAAACACATTTCTTTTCTGACATTATGGTGGGGAGGGAAGGTCCAGATTAACTGTACTTTTTAATAAGAGATGGAGTGCTATTGGAAAACTATTATGGAAACTGTGGCTTTAGCTCAGATTTGAGGAAGCTCATAACAAAAATTTACTACCTTCCAGCTTAATACTGCAGCAGAGCCCATTCTACAGACTCACTGCTGCCTGAATAATTCTGGGGAGCATTTGTGAGCCGGGGTTGTTCTAGGAGAGGCAATCAGCCACTGATGGGTTCTCCTGCTTAACTTGCCTAATTGATTCCACCAGACCTCCTAGCAGACTAGTTGCTAACCCTACCCTATCCCGACTCTGGCCTGGCTCCTTCTGATGGCAAAGTCTTCAGAGACCATTTGCCAGTTTGGAGCTGGGCCTTGGAGCTGCAGAGCAGTCTTGTAAAGCAGATGCGTAGTAAATGCTGCAGCCAAGTGCACAGCACATTTTCCTAAGTGGAAATCCTGTGTTACAGACAGAACATTACTTAACAGTAGGTGGGCAGTTCAATCCTAAACAGCTCAGTTCTTCCCCATCAGAGACCCTGCAGAAGCAGGCTTCTGCCGCAGCTGTGGGAGGAAGAGCAGTTCTTGTAACTGTCAGGAGCAGGCAGTGGCTAACAGAAACAGTCTCTTGGGAAGTCCCTGTCTGTGATTTTCCTATGTAAACACAAGAAAACAAAACCCCTGGGCTTGCTCTTCACACAAACAAGCTGCACAGAGCTCTTTCCTTCATCTGCTTGTGCTACGGTGTGGTCCTTCCCTTAGGTTTTACTGCTGCTTAAAGGTGTTTTTGTCCAGATATGTAAAGATGCCTCACCCTTCTCCTTCTCAGGAAAAATAACTATTTATTGAGTGCCTGTCGCCATGCAGGAACTCTGTATCCATCATCTCACCTCTTCCTCATCAAACACATCTCCTCTGAGTGAGTTGCCAAATTACACTGCTGGCTTCCCAGGCTGAGGTTTTGCTTCTGTTTACATTCTACCAGAACGAGGAGGAAAAAGTCACAAATAATGTGCTGTCTTCTCATCTTACTAATCCCCTCTTCCCCAGGCCTTTCCATATCTGGAATTAAATATCTGAGCCTTGGCAACCAGGCCAACCCCTAACATCATAGAACCCAGGCAAGAGCACAAATGGATGCCCATATGCCTGAAGCTAAAAGAGTTAACAATGTCCCTTTATAGTCGGGCGTGGTGGTGCATGCCTATAATCGCAGCTACTGGGGAGGCTGAGACAGGAGAAATCACTTGAACCCAGGAGGAGGAGGTTGTGGTGAGCCACAATGGCACCATTGCAATCCAGCCTGGGCAACAGAGTAAGACTCTGCCTCAAAAAAAAAAAAAAATATATGTCCTTTTAATGTGTCCTCATGTCTGCATTAGATATGAGCACTGAGATTTATTAATAAGAATTATAGACCGGGTGTGGTGGTTCATACCTGTAATCCTAGCACTTTGCAAGGCTGAAGTGAGAGATCACTTAAAGCCAGGAGTTTGAGACCAGCCTGTGTAACATAGTGAGACCCCATCTCTACAAAATAAAATTAAAACCCAAAAAAAGTAGCCAGTTTTGGTGGCGATGTCTGTCGTTTTAGCTACTTGGGAGACTGAGATGCGAGGATTGTTTGAGGCCAAAAGTTCAAGGCTGCAATGAGCTATGATCGCATCGCTGCACTCCAGCCTTAGCAACAGAGCAAGAATCTATCTCAAATAATAATTAATTATAATAGCATAAATGTCAAACAATCTAAATATTCAACAATGGGGCATTGATTAATTTGATTATAATATCTCCATATAATAGGGAATGATACCATTATTTAACATTTTTAATATTTGTAAGTTATTTTGGGTTTATTAGGTGAATAAAGATTTTCAAAGTGTCTTTGTAATTATTAAGTATATGTACACGTAAAAAGATGATCCAAAAAAATAGTAAGTTACCATCTCCTTGTAGTGACTTAAGTTATATTTATTTTCTTCTATGTATTTTTAATATTTTCTAAAAATTGTTATGATAATGAGGGAAAATAAATTTATAATAAAAATATTTGTATGCTTTAATCTAATAAGTCTGTTTCCAGGAATCTCTTTTAAGGATCAATGATGTGGTTAAATATCACAAGATAATTAATCACAATGTTATTCATAACTTAAAAATTATATCAGCAGGACCCAGTGACTCATGCCTGTAATCCTAACACTTTGGGAGGCCAAGCTGGGTGGATCCTGAGGTCAAGCCTGGCCAACATGGGGAAACCCCATCTCTACTGAAAAAATACAAAATTAGCCAGTTGTGGTGGTGCACCTGTTGTGGTGCTGCGTGCCTATAGTCCCCGCTACTCAGGAGGCTGAGGTGGGAGAATTGCTTGAACTTGGGAGGTGGAGGTTGCAGTGAACCGAGATTGCGCCACTGCACTCCAGCCTGGGCAACAGAGTGAGACTCCATCCTCCCACCACACACACACACACACACACAAACTAAAATTCCAACAACAGGTAATAGTTACATAAGTTATGGGAAAAATACAATGAAATATAAAGACTCAAAAGCATATTTTCAAAATCTAAGAAAACAAAATGCTCAAAACAAAATGTTATGGAGAAAAGCAAAAAGTGCTTTTGGCACCCTAAGTTGCTTCAGTATTTAAATCAAATTAGTGTAATGTCTTGGGGGGAGAAAGTTTCTTTTGATTGTATTTGTCTTTCAAATATCTTAAAAGTGGAAACAAGTCAGTAAGATTGTTGTACCTTTGAAACTTCCTTATGTTTATTCTGTTCTTATAATTTTCTCTTTTCCTCAGAGTGATTAGCAATCAAACTTTTTTTAAAAGGCTCATATGTCCTGGTCTATGTGGGCAGAAAGTATAAGGGGCTCAGAGAGTGGGCATAAAAACACTGAAGCCAGGACTGCAGAGGAGAAGATACCCAAAGAACAAAGAAGATGCTCTCTGAGTCAGGTAAACGAAAACCAGCATTCTCCGTGTAAGCTTTAAACAAGAGGGGAGACCATACATGGCCAGAGCCAGGGAGTGGAAAAACCCCCGAATTTAAGAAGGAAAGGAACCTTGTGGTTTCTTCAGCTCCAGGAAATAGCAGACACACCCCTATCCACACCCCGCTACCATTTATATCTACCCTGGGTTCTTCTATTTAATTAGAAAATCTTTTATTTATCAAGCAAATATTTGTTGAGTGATGTGCCAGGAATAGACAGGAGAGGAAAGGAGGAAGTCGGTTCGTTTCAGTTAGCCAAGTTGGTCTATTCATCTTTTCCTTCTTAAACAAACGGCTCCTTCACTCCCTCCCTCCAGACAAGCGTTCTGTGTGAAAGCTTTTATCTTTTCACATGACCCTACATCCTTGTTCACAATGATTGGTTCCCTTCAGGGGTGAACAACTTACCCAAGCCAATCGCTGTGCCTCACTCCCTTGACCACTGCAATTGGTCAAAGGGTTGTCATGTCATATTATCTTAATAAAGCTTCTGATTTATTAAGTCAATCAGACTTCTTCCCTCGCTTTTTTTTTTTTTTAAACTTTATGGGAAAGGAGGGCTCCTTCCCTCCAGTTCAAGACCCGTGAGCCCAGATGTGAGCCTGGAAACTGTAGAAAGCCAGAAAAGAAGCAGAGGGGAAAATAAGACAATGAGCAAAACCCTCAGAGACGCAGGAAGGAAAAAAGTCCTGCTGGCATTCAGAACCCTGTGTCAGGTCTTTGTGAATCACCCATTTCCTCTGTCCATCTGGCTGTCTGATTATTTAAGCCATAACCTTTCCATTCTTCTGAAGCTATTTCCTATTGTATTTCTATTATTTGAAACCAAAGGGTGTTCCCCAGTACAGGGGTTTGGATTGCAGAGCTGTGTGAGCTCTAGTACGCCTCCTGGGTCTAGTGAAGCAGACAGGTGCCAGATCAGAAGCTTTATTAAGATAATGAGGGAGGAAGCCAAGCACGGTGGCTCACAGCTTTAATTCCAGCACTTTGGGAGGTCGACGCAGGTGGATCACTTAAGGTCAAGAGTTTGAGACCAGCCTGGCCAAAATGGAGAAACCCCGTCTCTAATAAACACAAAAATTAGCTGGGTGTGGTGGCGTCCCTGTAATCCCAGCTATTGGGAGGCTAAGGCACCAGAATCACTTGAACCCAGGAGGTGGAGATTACAGTGAGCCCCGATTGTGACACTGCACTCCAGCAAGACTCTGCCTCAAAAAAAAAAAAAAGATGAGGGAACTAATGATGCTCTCATTACCTTTTACCTATTGATAGAACTGTGCCTTCACTTAACATTAATGCAAACAATACTTGTTGAATACCTGCCCTGTATTTCCCTCATCAGTTTTTGGCCTTTGAAATTGAATTCATGCATGCCCGTTCTTCTTTCCGTCTTAATTTCATTCAGCCTATTGGGAAAAGTAAAAGGGAGGATTCCACTTATGCCCGTAACTGTGAAAATGCAACGTTTCTTTAGTGGAAAATTTACAATTAACCACAAGATGGGGCTGTTATGCAAGGAAGTAAAAGCTAATGGTTGGCGGGAAGAGGATGCAACATTTCCAGCATCCAGGATAGGATATTTAAATGCTTCCTCACTAGAAAATAAGGAAAGGAAAATATTTTAAGAACATATATTCATCAAATGAAAGCACTACTCATAACAACTTCAGGGATTACTCTTTTTTAACAATCTAGTGTTCCTTTTTGGGAAAATGATACATAATTATTACAGTAGATATTTTCCCCTCCGAGATTCTGCCTACATCAAGGTTGATTGCTTGTCTTTCTTCCTGGTTTTATTCATCTTCATTCTTCAGCCCCTTTCAATGAAAGGTCATAACATAAAGCTAAAATACATGCATTAATTTATTAATTTATTTACAGATTTCTATGTACTCTGGTATTCAAGTTCAAAGATGAAGAAATAGCATTTGATATATTTTATTAACATACTCTTTTTTCCTGGTGTCTTCCACCTCAACCTAAAGTAAATCACTTTGACCTCATTTCCCCCTTGGGTTTGCAGTTTGAAGATCTGGAAAACTCTTGATTAATAGCAATAACGTAAGTAGACACATTTTTAGAAAATCCAAAAGAGGCAAGAGGAAGGTGAGCCCTGCATATGCCTTTGCCTTAGGAGAGACTACAGCATTTGCTGGGGCAAGATGACCACAGAAGGCAGCTAGCTGAGAATGTCCATTCACCCTGGGGCTGTGCAAAGCAGGAAGTCTGCACTTAGATGCAAGGGAAGCCACAGAGAGGAGGCATTCCTGTTCCTTCTAGGGCACAGTCCAATCTGTGTTGCGCTCACTCAAACTGGGAGCCTCCTGTTGAGAAATGGGAAACCTAAAAATAAACCTGTAGAAAGTACTTTGACCTTGGCTTGAAAGTCAGCCCAGTGCTATGACAAGAAAGGCCTTTTACATGAAGATTATGTTCTTAAAAGCCATATTTCATCCTCACCCAGACTCCCAGTAAAACCACACTCAGAAAATGTGCGTCTTGGCTATCCTTCAACTGTAAAATCATTATGTTTGGCTCTGGTTATTCTGGACATTAGATGTCTATGGAAGGGTTTCTTTCTGAAATTCCTTGTACAAACTGTTAGGGGTTATAAACTGGATTAATAGCGACATTTAAGCAAATCTGCTATGCTGTATGTATGTAAGACTTTATGATTTTTGGAAAGAATTCAAGGAAAAAGCAGAAAAAAATGTATTCAAGTAAATCAGAATGCACATGCTTTAGAATTAATGACAATAAACTAATAACTTTTCTTGAAGAAATCTAGCCAGAACTTCAAGAGAATATATTTTGTTAAAGTTTTAGTAATTAAATCCAAAATTAAAGGGTACTATCCTATAATTTCTTGCATGTGTTAGGATTATAATATTTAAAATTTTCAATATCAAAGCATTTCAGGCGACTTTCATATGTATTCTGCATGTATTTCAAGGATAACCCTTAAACGATGATAAAAAGCTATTAAAGAGGGGAGAAAAAGCACTTTTACATACTTAGGTAACTTTCTAAAGAACAGCTGCCACCAATTAAACAACAAATACCTTGTAAAGACTCTTGGGGGTTCAATGTTCTTTCATTGAACTGAAAAATGGACTGAAAAATCTGGGAAAATGGACTTCATTAGCAACTACAAACTTATTGAAAGGATATCTGAAATGGCATTTAATACCTGCAAAGACAAACAATCAGTAGTTTAAAGTTTCACCATAAGATTGGTAAATAACACTGATTACAGGTCTTATTCAAACAGAAAATAATGAATATGTAATGAGAGGAGAATAATGATCCAAATTGCTCTTAATCTTGGAGTTGTGCCTATTGATTGGCCTGGAAATAATAGTGCTAATCTTACAGTAAGAAAGTCAAGTGCTTTAGAAAGTCATTAGCTTTGGGGAAACAGGATACCCATTTCATTGTACCAATACAGAGTTTTATTGAGTAAAGCCTCAAACAATGTATGTTTAAGAAAAATTCCAAGGTTAACCTAAGTCAAATAGCATTCCTCTCCACTCTGTAACTCATAAAAGCAATTTAGGTACTCCTTATAATTCATCCAACTAAATGCCTATTGTATTCCTGCAACACAAGATAATCAAATACAGTAAATAATTCAGCATTCCAAAAGGTAATTATTGATCTCACACTGGCTTATTTCTAATAAGCTGAAGAAGTAGTAACCTTCTCAAAACAGTACATCTACATTTTAGACAGGCATTCCTGAGACACTCTGGCAAAGTTTCATGAACGAACATATTTATAAGCAAATATACATTACAAAGACGCAAAGTCTTTTTAAAAGTCATAATTTCTCATCTCTAGGAGAAGCCTCAAAGGATTCTGAATTTGAAATATCTTTACTTCCCATTAACTTTCCATGTATCCAATTACAGGTTAAATTTACATTCTTTTCAATACATTTTTGAGACCTTAAATGTATTCTTAGATCCTGAGCTTGAAAAATGATTGCTTTTATTTTAATTTAAATAACACAAGCATCTGGTTAATGAAAATAGATATAACATGAAAAACCCTGGCTCCTCTTAGCAACTGTGCATGGAACAGGTAACTGGCCAGTGTTAAGGGTTGCCAGGTGGGGGCAGCAGAGAGCGCTTCGCAATGACGTGTTAGATGAGGCTCTCAAGACCAGCTGGTTGCCAGGGAACACGCCGGGCACCTGAGAAGTGGGCGAGATCAATTTGTTATGGGGAAGTCAGCTGAATGCAGAGTTGAAAACAGAAAGTGTAAGCCAGGGGGAACAAAAAAAGACTGAAGTCAAACTGGAAAGAGCTTGGGCCTGGAAGTCACGAAAACCTGACTTCTGACCTTTACCAAATGTGTCACCTCAGGTAAGGACTTCGTCTCTCCGACTTGGTGTTTTTCCTGTATCAGCTGAGTATAATGATAGCACCCCCTCGTGGAATTACATAGGGTTATAAAATGATGCGTGTTGAGCATTTAGCACACTGCCTACGAGTACACAGAAAGGGCTGAGCAAAAGATATGAGTATTATTACTGACTGCTGCTGCCAGAGAAGCTGGCAAAGTGAAGCTGAGTGCCAGTCTCAGAGAAGGAAACAAATAGGTACCTCACAGAGTGAAAGTCAGGGAGGCGAGGGAAACAAGGCAAAGGGAACCAGGACAGCGTGCAATCTCCTCACTATGCTTTGCATTGAACCAAGGCCCTTCTTGTACACAAAATCTTGCACACTTAAATCTGTCCCTTGGAATGTTCACCTTTCCTGACCCTTTCTTAAAGATACCTTGCTCTGAATCTAGTCATTTGTAACAGCTGCTCTAGAAAACAAATCTGGTGTCATTTCAGATCTGACAAGTGCCCTCGAGTAAGAGCGAGAAGGAAAAGCTCATCCCATGGAAAGGCTTCCTCGACGGTGCCTAGGAGGGCACCCACTGGAGGTGGTCTGTTAGCTTGTTTGCCAAAACAAGTGATTCTTGGAAGTTGCTTTTATTTTAATTCATGTGAATGGTCCCTGTATTTTTTAAAATGTGAAGTGAGTACCTCCCCCTGGTTCCTGGAGTGGATGGTGAAGTTTCCATGCACCTGAGAGCAGACGCTGCAGTATTGAAGGTGTTGAGTGTTCTGCTTCATGATGGAAATTCCGGACATTCTTAACTACACTGTTCTCTTGAAGAATTCAAGAACTCTTTATTGGCCATAAATGGTGCTTGTAAACTGAACTCTCCCCTACTTACTGCACTTTAGGACTAAGAGCCCAGACTTGGGGAAAGGGCTCTTGTTGGGGAAAGTTGGGTACTTGTTGATGGATTCAGTGGAGGAGTGGGAAGGAATAGGACGTTTTCAGATTGAACATTTGGGTGAATTTATATGGCTGTACCATTTACTGAAGAGGGAAAGTAATCCTAACCCGAAAGTCTCTCCATGGCCAGGACCAACTTGGGGAAAGTTTTGCTGATTACTTTGGCTGCGCAGTGTCATGAGACCATTCCCTTGGTGAGTGTGAGGTGGGATGAACACGCCTCAGAACAGAGGATAGGAGTTCTTTGCTTTGAGGGGACTGATGGGTTGGGCACAGGACTGAGGTTTGCGGATGCCTACAAGTCCTGTGTGTGGAGTGTGAGTTGGTCCTGGCCATGGAGAGACTTTCGGGTTTGTAAGGATCAGCTGTAAGCCCGAGGAGCACCCACTGGTCCCTGCGGTGTCAAGCACTCAACTTCATTCCATTGGCACTTAGTAAAGTTTTTATTAAGTATCATGTTACTTTCCCTCTTCAGTAAATGGTACAGCCATATAAATTCACCCAAATGATCAAACTGAAAACTTCCCGTTCATTCCCACTCCTCCACTGAATCATCAACAAGTACCATCAATTCTGCCTCCAAAGAGACTTAAGTTCAAGCTCGTGCTTTGTTTGCCTCTCCAGTCTCCCACCCTGATCCCGCTTTTGTTTTCTACCTGGGTGCTAACAGGATCCTCTTCCTCTCCTGGCTTTCTATCTTCACCTTCTATCCCATTCTTTACAAGCAACTTGGGGATTCCCTTTCAATATAGATGAAGTCAAGTCACTCTCCCGCTTAACCATTGCAGTTTCCCAGTGTTCTCAGGATACAGATGCAAATGCTTAGCGTGGCTTCCAAGGTCAAGTCTGGGCTTGGTGAGCTTTGGAGAACTCAGTGAGAGCCCTGGCCTCTGGGAAGAGCTGCTTGGAAAAACACAATTATAGTCGGTGCAAAGGGATCATTTAAAGTGTGGGCTGCAGGGTAGGTGACAAGAGACCATGACAGATTTCTTGAGATTCCTTCTAGAAAGGAACCCAGTAGAAGTACAGGCTCCTCGTTCCCTTTGGTGAGAGACTGTGATAGGGTAGTAAAGGAAAGATGGCTAGTGGTGTAGGCACAGGTTGATAAGATTCGGGGATATATCAGTGACACACCCAACCTAGGGTCCTATAATCGTTCATCAATCTTCTTTATTTTTGTCTTAAAAACAACGAAAAATTGTACAATTTAACATATAATAATGGCTTCTATTTATCAAGCATCTGCTAAGGGGCTGGCTTTCTGCCAGGCATTTTACATATTTGATTACCACAACCTTATAAGATGATTATTATTATCTCCATTTTTGATATATGGGAACCAAGGCTCAAAAGGTTACTAAAAGTCAAATGAATAATAAGGTACAAACTTAAAAAAAAAATTACCAAATTGACTTTCTTTATGAAGGAAAGGGACAGATCTCATATTAATTTGTCACTGAGGGAGCACAGAAAGTTGGGTGTTTGTTTATCTGTCTCCCCCGACTAGGAGGAGAGAGCTCGTGAGGGGAGAGCCTGTTTTGTTCACAGCTGTCTCCCGAGCACACTGAATAGTGTCTGGTCGCAGCAGACCTGTAGGGATTTGTTCATAGACTGAAGCAATGAAGTTTGACAGCTGCTTTCATTACTCGGTGATTTTGATTCAAAGCTTTACAAAAGTAGGAAAAATTAGTGTGTATATCCATGTTTCCAAAGATATGGTGGTGGATTTTTTTTTTTCTTATTCTCTCCACTGAAGTACTGCTATTAAAATACAACTAAGCCTTATTCACCCAGAGGTTTCCACTAGCAACAAGAATTAATTAAATTATGAGTCATCAGCAGATGACATAGGAAGCAGATTATCCCCCTGCAATGATTGTTTTCGTTTTTCTAATTATAAAAGTAATATAGTAAAGAACACTAGCAAGATTTCTTAATTTTAAAAAGGAAAGTATATACTATTATGAAAAGATCTCTAAGATATATTTTTAGTGAAAAGAACAACAAGATGTAGAATAGTGTTCATGGTAAGCTTTTCTCCCATGGGATAATAATAATAATAATTGCTGAGAGCTTACTGTGTGCTGGGCATTATATTATGTCCACTGAATGAATCATCTCATTGAATACTTTAACCACACTGTGTTGTTAGTACTATAACATTATTAGTTAGATACCCCATTTTAATAGTACTATTGCTCTCATATTATTTTTCTTGTTTTTATTTTTAAACAACCCAGCACTTAGAGAAACATTGCAACATGCAAAGTATACATACACACACACAAGCATACACATGTGTCCATTTTATATCTGTATTTACATCTATATACCCATATATTAAAAGCTAATATCTTCAATTCCGTTCCTATGCCACAGAGTTGTAGTTTTCTCTCTCTTTTTTATTAATTTTTTTTGAAACAGAGTTTTACTCTGTTGCCCAGGCTGGAGTGCAATGGTGTGATCCTGGCTCACTCCAACCTCTGCCTCCGAATTCAAGTGATTCTTCCACCTCAGCCTCCTGCATAGCTGGGATTACAGGCACACACCTGGCTAATTTTAGTATTTTCAGTAGAAACAGGGTGTCACCATTTTGTCCAGGCTGGTCTTGAATTCCTGACCTCAGGTGATCCGCCCACCTTGGCCCTTCCAAAGTGCTGGGATTACAGGTGTGAGCCACCCCACGCAGCTTGCTCTCTTTTTTATGCATATTTATTCTCTCAAATAATGCAATGCCTGGCTCCTGTTGTCTTCTACTTATTCATTGAATCACTCTTCTGTTGCCTCCACTGTCCCTATCCCTGGCAGTAATGTCTCTCTTCCCAGTGGTCTCTAGCACTCTGCATCAGACCCTCTCACCCCCAACAGTCCCCAAGACCTCGTGCCCTGTCGTGCTCTGATACCTCCCACCAACACAGAAGTCCTTCTTCCTCTGTGTCAGGACCTCCCTGAGCCCACTGGGTTGTGACATCCCACCTCCCCATACCTGACAAAGACAGCTCCCTTGCCCCTCAGGGATAGCCATGAGAAAGTAGCTCCAGGGGTTCTAGCATTTGGAAACTGCCTCAAACTTAATACATTAGCATCTTTGGTAGCCCATTCTTAACCTGGACCAGCATTTTTAGACCTAAAGCATAGATGGCCATTTAGCTAGTCATCTGCATGAGAATTAAACACGAGAGATGATAGAAAAAGAAAAGAAAAAAGTAAAAGAAAAGACATTGTACCAGGAAGGAAGATATTTCATGAGCTGAATCCCAAGCAGCAACGTCACCACTAACGTTACAACGGTGTTGCCAGCTAATAATGGGCTGCTGCTTAACTGTCGGGAAATGCAAACAGCACAACATTAAAATGGTTCTGTTTTTTTTCCATCCTTATAATAGCATCATGGCAATAGAGTGCTGAACTCTGAAAGACACGGGCTGTAAAAATAAACACGGCACTTAAGCCAGGGGGCACTTGGGTTGTGATTTTTCTTTTGAATTTGGTGACATATCCCAAATCCTCAAACCACTCCTGGGATCTTCCCTTGAAGTATAGTCCGAATCACCCACCTGTCTCAAATGGCCCAGCAAAGCTCTTGTTCTGTGCAGGCAGGCCTGCCACATAGCTGGCTTTTTCTTCTCCTCTTGCCTTGGCTAAGTGACTTCCAAGGTGTTTCCGAAAGCAAAATGTAGGATTCAAAACAAAGAGCAGAGAGCTGGGCCAGGCCTGCATTGTCCTCTGTCTGTGACAATGGGCAGCTGCTTGGCCCCTGGTCATCTTCCATGGCAAAAGCTGGACCCAGGCTTGCTTTTTCTCTCCAAGGGTGGGATTGCCTCTGGCTCCAAGTTGCACGTTTGTTGTTAGCGCTCATCACTTCGATTTTGGTTTTACTTCACCCTTCCCTTTGTCTTCACTTTTATCTGTCTGCGTATTTCTCAGCAACCTGTTTTTACTTCATCTCTCTCTCTTATTATTACCGTTAAGTTTCATTCCCCTGCTCTACATCCTTGGCTTCCCCTCTAAGCACTTTGAAAATGGAGGTGAATTTTGTCTTGGTAAAAGATGCTGAAAGGCTAATCTGT